TTACTTAATAACCCTTGAAGTTTGCTCAAGGTCACCTCATCCTTGTTCATATGATAAGTCATCTTGAACTGTTCATAACAAGGAGGTAAAGAGTGGAGAATAATATCAATGGCCAGCTCTTCATCGAAGTTGACATTCAACTTGAGCAAACGATCCACATATTTTTGCATTCTTTGCAAGTGGGTCGTGATGGTCTCTCCATCCTTCATTTTGGTTGTTATTAACGAGGCAACTATCTCGTACCTCTCTTGACGCGCACTTTGATGGTACTTTTCCATCAAATCTTGGTGCATGTCATAAGGCCAATAATCATTGTAGAACTTTTGAAGCTCGAGAGTCATAGTGGCTACCTTGATGTACGACAACTTTGTCGCCTCTTTGCGTCGAGCCCTATACTCGGTGATTTCTTCGGGAGTAGCAGTAGTTTCGTTGATCTCGATGAGTTCTTTGTTGAGAATCTCTTCCTTGTCCTCGTACCTTAAGGCCATGTGAATGTTGCGAATCCAATCGTTAAAGTTGGATCCATCAAATGTGACCCTCCCACAAATGCCCAAGAAAGAAAGTGGGTTCGAGGAGTTGGTGTTGGAAGAGTTCGAGCATGACATCTGAAAAAGAAAAGAGACAACGTTTAGATTAGATAAGAATCCTTAATATAACACCCAGATGAAATATTAAGGCTAGGACCCAACACAATATTCTACAATTCGGAAGAGGGATGTCGTAATCCAATTGCAAAATATTTGAAGGTAGGTAAATGACGATTTACCAATTTCCACCATGAAAAACGAAAATGCACATTAGGTCTCAAATGAATTGAAATTCCTAGATTCTTTGAGATTCATTGAACTTTTTAGTGGCATGTTTTAATCTCGATTATGCCATTCAAGTTTGTGACTGTGATACCGAGGATCACAAACAAGGTGTGAATAACCATGCAAATGCGCTTGGTACTCTCGAAGTCATTTATCACCTAATCAAAGTGCCGGTTAACCACACACGCTCCATTGATCTATGATAAACATTAAGCTACCCTTTTCCACCCTTGTTAGTCCAAGTTAGTGTGCCGGTTAACCACACACGCTCCACTAACGACTTGGAAAGGTGCAAACTGCAATTTCATGTAATAGCATCATTTCACATTTTTCCTAAAGTAACTAAGATTGGAAATTTATGAAAACAGTTAGTTACTTTATTATAATCATTATACTTATTAATGAGGAATTACTTGTCTTATCCTACCCGTTCGGCTAACGATCCTCCACCAATCAAGGAAGCGGTGAGTGAGAGTGGACACCTATTCAACCACCATTTTATAGGCAGTTTCCTTATACTCCCCTTAGAGATCGGCTTCGTGAATGAGGCCTACTAACGGTAAGACTGACTAATCTTATACACATATATAAGTATTAAGCTTTTAATATTATAATAGTATAAGGGTTGTATTTTAAAGTTTTAAAACACTAGGGTTTAAAATTTAATATTTCAAAATTAAAACTTTTTAATCAAATTTTAAATTCCAAAACTTGAGGGCAAGTTATGAAACTTCTCAAAAACATCTAGATCAAATTTAAAATAATTAAACTAATCATATAATTTTACCATTATCTAAATTTGACCTAATCCAATTTTATTTTGCAAGATAAATACAATTCAAAATTTACAAATAATTAGTTTATAATATAATCTAGTAATTATCTTAAATTTTGACAATTATCTTCCAATTAGATTAGGATATCCATTACCATATTAGAAAAATCGGATTTTGACAGAAAAAACAATTTATGGTAATTATCCAAATCTAATTTAGGCTTTAAATCCGAAAATCCTGCAATCAGACGAGTCAACTCGTCGAGTCAGGCTTTGGACTCGTCGAGTTGCCTCAACTCGTCGAGTCCCAATATGGACTCGTCGAGTTCATCTGTCAGAGGGCAGAAATCGATTCTTTTCAGCTTTGAACAATTAACCATGACATCAAATACAACAGAAAAACAACCTAAGCTCTGATACCACTGATGGATTTTGAGCACTACAACATTCATATGGTGTACATGTAACCCTAATGCTTCAGATCTATGTTTTTCTCAAGTTATACATGCAAATCAAATCATCCAAAGCATGAACCTTAACTAGCATGCAATTTTCAGAAATCATAACATAAAACAAAGTTAGAAGAATACCTTTTCCTTTGTAGCTTGTAGATCTTGACCTTCAAGAGCTTAGTGCCTCAATTGTTGCACCTCCAGTGAGTCACAAACACCAAGTAGCAAGTTGGAAGAATATGAGAGAGGTTAGGAGGCTCAAAATCGACTAGGGTATTCTCTTGGAAGCAAGTGTCCGATTTTGGGAGTCCTAGGGTTCCTTATATAGTTGAGCTGCTAAGGTTTCTGACTGGAACTCTAATTCTCTGCTTAGGCCTTAAGCAACCCAATAGATCCTTCCAGAATCCCCCTTTGGACGAATTCTATGTTGGCTAGACATAGAATTCCGTCCATTCCTTCTTAGGGATCCACAAGCCCAACTTTGCAACTATCATATAATTGCAATATCAGTTCCCAATAATTTAATCAGTCTCTTTTGATCACCAAATTAATTCCAAATTAATTTTTGATCAATACTAATTAAATAATATGATTTCTCAATTAATATAATATTCTTATAATATATTAATAAATCACAATTACCCTCTTTCTCCATTATTCATCCAGTCAAGTTGCTACGGTGAAGGCAACCCAAAAGGACCATGCTACTATCGGGTCAAGTACACACGAATTATAGTTATGGACTTCGACACCTAATCCAACACTTTCCTTATACATTAAAGATGTTATTTAGGCTGGAACCGGACCAAACCAGTTGAACCCAAATAAAGCGAAAACTGAATAAGACTATAAGGAGGAACCAAAACCGGACCGATTAAACCAATGTGGGTCCAGTTCGGTTATTAACCGAATAAACCGAATAATATTTACAATATAATTAAGGACCGAATAGAACCGAAAAGAACCAAATAATCTGAATAAACCGAATAACATTTTCAATAATCAAAGGAAGTCAAATTATTTAAATTCAAATGTGACTCGAATGATCCAACCATAGCTCTATATATATTGAAATCTTCTTCTATGGGGGATAAACCATCTCAAACATATGTAAGATCTATTACAATAAACTAAATGTTAGTTAAAAAAAAGAACTATAATACCCCCTGTTAGGAGCCTGTATCTCATTGAATATACAACCAAAAAAATGCATGTAAACTATAATATACATCAATTTTAGTTTTGACCTTCTGGGAATTGGATGTTGATACAATGAAACAAAATCATATATTATTAGGGTTAGTGAAATGTTGCTAGACATTCACCACTGTCTATATCAATCTGTAATGCGCCTTAAGGTTGATTGTTTACGGTCCGATTTTTCAGTTTTAGGTCAAACCAAAGTCATACCGTTAGTAACGATTTTTATCAATTAAAAACCGAATCCGAACCAATGAAAAGTAAAACAAAACCATATTGAATCGTTACTAATGGGTTGACTCTGATTTGGTTTCACGGTTTAGGCTTATAGGCTCATTTGTATCGATCCCATTAGATTAATTTCGAAAAAAATGCCAAATTAAATCTATCAAAACAATCAAAAAAATCTGTTTTTAACTGATTTAGGTATTTGATTTTGACTTTGGTTATTGCTTATTGGAGTTGAGGGACCGATGAGCTTCACAAAAAGGATTGGCCTGACTAATTTACTAAGTTTGGTTTATAAGACATAAGTTATTAAGTTAGTAGGTTTTAAATTTTTATTACTTATATATAAAAATTAATATATAATCTATATATAAATCTTACGGTCCAGTCCAATTTTATAAGGTTTGAAATTTTGAAATCACAAACCAAATCGTTCAATATGGTTTCGAAAGTTTGAAGCCGTAAGCCAAACCGTAAAGAGATATACAAACACCGAAACCAAACCTTTGGAGTTTCAAAACCAACTTTGCAAAGTACGCATACTTACCACAATAGTCTGCCGGTAAAGAGATTGTGGGATGTTCTTTTATTGGTTCCTAGAGATGTTATTCGCTCACAGATCTATGAGAATAGAGAGTTCAACCAAAATAAGTCATGTCATATCGCAACTGAATCGCAAAAATTGTATATGTGGTACCAAGAAAAAGTATGGTCCATCTGAACATTATAGTATTGTTTAAAACATACAGTTTATTTTTCAAAAACCATATAAAACCACAAATAAACACACAAGAAATAATTTAATATTTTAAAAACAAACAAAATTATATCAGAATGCTTCTCCGGTATCTCATACGTAACTCAAAAATGCACACAAAATAATCATTTTCGCAAAAACATATAAAAATGATTATTTTTATAAAAGGATGTCTTTTTAAATTACTTAATATCCCTATGTAATAATGTAGAGTTAGGTACCCATATGCTATAATGTATGTACATCTTGTTAGTAACTTTTAGTAAACAAATAGAGCATACCGGTATCTCGTACGTCACTCAGCCTTCACGCGTGGATTGGTCGACCATACCGGATGCCTTAAGATTAATTAAACAAGTTATACGAGGCCATCTTAACTTCAAAAGTTATTATATTTATCCCGATTAAATAATAAACAAGTAATTTGCATTTTTATAACCGATTTGTTGCCTTGCTGAAAAAGGTTCAGCAGTGGATTAGGTTTACTGAATCTCCCCATTTTATATGCTATAAACCACAAGTCGTGTACGTGTGTGTATAGACAGACATAAACTTACAATAGAATGTATGCATACACACATGAAAATAAGTGAAAATTCATATTTCTGTTTCATGCAGACATGCTGCTGTGAGGTAACTAGGGTTATATAGTTACTTGGTTAGGGTTGCTTCATCTGTACACGTGTAGAAGAAATTATGAAAATATAGATATGTATGTATGTAGGTAGGATATTGATTGGATTTTGATTATATATGATGAAGATGTATCTACTTAATTAATGCCAAGATGAAACAGAGAAAAGGGGTTGCTTTTGCCAACCCAAGAAGAAAGAATCATTTACAACCTCAAGATTGTAACCTTCAGAAGGGTAATGAAGTCGCAAAAGCAGCTTGGCTTGTGAAAGAGCAAATGGGCTTAACGCAATGTTCTGGAATCCAGCGATCCTCATTATCATCTCCCATGATAGGAATCTCTCGTGTCTCTCTCTTCTTTTCTCTCCCTCCGTCGCCACTATATCGGTAATCTCTCTGCCAAACCATACCTGCTCCACCTCCATCCTTTCCCGGCTGTTAGGAGGTAGTGTTGCCTCCAGTGAGTCATAGATGGCGGAATAATAGTTCAAAGCCTCCTCGAATCTTGATATAAATATTGGATGGTTGTGGTTTGCTTCTTTTTCCGCTAAAGTAACCACTTTAGGGTTCATGGCTTTGATCTTTCTTAATAACAAGCAGAGTTTCTCTCGGTCTATTAGGAAACGGTGGAGGTAGAGGACGCAATTGACGGCTAGGATTTCGTTTGGGAGGAGGTGAACCGCGGATAGATGGTCGATTACATCGTCGACTGTGTGGTTGATGTTTGTTTGAGGCAGTAGGAGGGGAAAGAATCGAAATCTAAGGCCGAGTGACTGGGCGAATTTGGAGAGACGGTTTCCCGTTCTATGGAGGATATCAAGGTTAGTACCTGTGGCTGTGATGCGGAGGGTTGGTGGCTGGTGGCGGTCGACGATGGCTTGCATTAAAGGCGGCCATTGGACACCGTGCATGATGTCAAAATCGAGTATATGAATGTCATGAGGATGTTGTTGTTGAAGACAATGGGTTTGATCGATAGCATCCAAGATTGCTTGATTAGCAGTGAGCTGACTAAATCTAATAAAGGGTGTTATTTGATTCAGCGACAAATATGATGACTGAAGAATAGCATCATCATTTTCATCAAGGTAATTAAAGGAGTAACTAGAGCGAATGCTACTAGGTGTAGGCGGTAGTGGTTGAAGGTGGAGAAGAAGGCGTAAGGAGAGGGCTTTAGTGAAAGAGTGGATTAATCTTTCAGATGAATCGCCGTAAGGGGAAGAATTGGAGGAGAGGATGGTGGTAATACGGTGGGCGGCGGTGTAGTCAGAGCGGGAAATGGAGTGGGCACAGCTTAAGAGGAGATGACGCAAGTAGACTGATGGTGGGTTGTAACTACTCAACCTGCTCATCATCTCAACTTCTTGATGGTGAACTTGTTGGATCTCCTGGTTGTGGTGCTGCCGTAAATGTTCGACCATTTCTGGTGGTTGCGGTCGGGATAGATCTGCTTGTAAATGAACTTCTTCCTGATGTTGTTCTTGATGACGATGATGATGTGAACAAGAAGATGAACCCAACATCTAAAGAAACTTCGTTGAATGAATCTTATGCTGGTTCTTAGGTCTATAACCTGCTGCCCTGATTTGATAAACCTAATTAACTTCCTTCAAACTTAGATCCACCGTAACTGTGATTCCAGGGGGCAGTGTAAGTAAAACACCTGAAAAAGATGAAGAAGAAGAATGATTGCGACAGGGAATAGCGTGTGTGGAAGCTAAAGGGATACATACAAATCAGCTAGCATAAAACAGCTTAAAGGGAAATGTAGCATCAGTATACCCTTTCCACCCTCATGATATATAAAGTTGTATGTTTAATAAAGTATCCAAATTTCTATATATAATTTTTGAAAACATGGGGCAACGGATGTGCCACTAAATTGTCGCCCCTATAATATGTAGTGGTGTCATCTCCCTGCTAATATGCTTCCCCCTAATACTTTGTCACTTATATTCGGATGACACCGTTAATATGTCTTCACTAATGGTGTTGCCCTATTGATTTTGGTCGCCCGTAATATGTCGCCCTTAATGGTTTCATCCATATTGTTTATTGTTACCGTTTATATCGCAGATATTGGTGTCGTCTCTATTACTAATTGTTGCCCCTAATAATGTTGTCCATACTTTTTAATTTTTTTGTTAAATAATATTTTTTCTAGCACACAAAGAACGCGGTAAAATCATAAACGACAATAATAAAATGCATAAAACAACAGAATTATAAAAAAAATGTATATATACAAACTAATACAAAGTATAACACAAAGTTATTTCTTACACAAACCATCTACGCAACATAAAATAAAACATAAAACTACACGTGCCATTATTTGTCATCCTTGTTATTTCTCCATGCTATTAATTTGGATCGACAACGATGGAATCATGTCTTGAGCAGGGGCGGACCCAAGAATTTTCCGAAGAGGCGGCAAATTTTTTTTATAACTTTTTTATAGGGGGCAAATTTTTTTTGAAGAGTCAAAATATATAATTTTGAAGGGTTAAAATATATTTTTTTTGAAAAAAAACATATTTTTAATGAAAATTTTTTTTGTGGGGGCAATTGCCCCACTGCCCTACTGTAGGACCGCCCATGGTCTTGAGTCTTGCTCTAGATGTAGGGTTACAAAACTAATATAAAAAGGAATTTTCAAATTACCAACCTAAACTAATATAAGTGAATTTACAAACTACCTATATAAACTAAAGAAAGTTACTAACACTTATTAAATTATTAACATTAACATAATCCAATATACAACATTAACATATATTCATCGATCCAAATTAATAAAATTCAAACATAAACCAAAATATGTTGTATTTACATGTATAATTGTATTAAATGTTTATTATGTTTTTATTTTCTTGTTAATACGATTTCAAAGTGCTTAATTTTGTTAGTGACTTAATGTTGGTCATTACAACTTTAGCTTAATTAGGTAGGTTATTAATAGCAACATACTTTTAGTAAATTTAAATTAATTTTTATTCATCTATTTTTATCCATTTATTATAAGTTATCATGACTAATATTTTTAATTATATTTTTCAGCTGAGCTTCCTAAAAAAAAAGAGGCCTAACAAAAACATCCGGCTATCAAAGTTGATACGGGCAAACAAGGGAAAGCCCGTGGATTTGGATTTCGACAGAGAGCTCACATATTCCCCATGAGATTGGGAGGTATATGTGGATGAACATCCCTTTGAACGTATCTGGTTGGGACAATGTTTCCCCCGCTTTAAGGAATGCCACAGTCGTGTTTCTAAAGGTTACTTGGATAATATTTAAAGTTTAGTTGTGATTGATATTTAATTAACTAATTTTTTTGTATTTGTAGAATAAGTTTGATTTGGATCAGGTTAACTTGAATCCCGAGCGTGCTCAGTTGTTGCAATAGGATGGGAGTTTAATTATTAAACTTAACTAATCAAATACTTCAAGTAATAATAATATGCAGATAATAAATAATAAAAATATAAGATAAATAAAATGATACTTTTGTTTAGATTATAAACACCTAATGATTTTGATTGATTTATACGAAATGCAAGTTGTATTATCATAAGTTTTCCGATTTTGAAATTAATTATTTCCATCTCAATACCCTTAATCATATGTTTCTAAGTTATCTACCATCAATTATGCTTTTCCAGATCTATTTTGTTAATTCATATTATGAAAGACTTAATTGGTATGATTGGTCTTAGGTAAATGACCACCTTTCAAATGGTCTAAATCAATAGCACAATCAAGGACATTATATTGATAATCCTATGTCTAACTTAGGGAGATAGCCTTCCATTATTTGCCACTTCCTATGCTCTTGACTCGGTTTTCTAGCTTGTACAAGTTAATAAACAATGTGATTCAAGCAACATAATCTAAAATCACTCTCAATCATGAGACTTAGTTACATAGACACAACAATATCAATATTAATACTAATAAATCTTTAATTAAGAAAATGTAATAAGTTAAGCCACTCCCAATATCCTTTCATTGAATCAAATCATAATCAAGTCATATCATCTACATTCTAAACAAAATTACTAGAACTTAGCTGACAAACAAATTAAAAATATATAATAAAACATAGGAATGCTAAATATAATATACAACAAAACAAATACTCCTTTATTAGCTTCCTTGCTTCAGTTCTTTTCCTTCTAATGTATTTCCTCTACACTGCTCTATGTATGTTTCTAATGGATGAAATTAGGGCTCAATTTATAGTCTTTTATGAACGACTTAAATCACGACGTGACATGAATTTCGCAACGCAACCATGTAAGTTTGATATTTATCACCAGAATCTTCAGAATATTTAAAATCTCTTCCATTCTATGTTTTAGCTACTTTCCTTGGTCAATAATCCACAAAAATATGCTCTAAATTTTCCTTTTTTGGCTTTATTTTATCCATTAGTATTTTTTTGTGGCAACTCGAACCATTTTCAGTCAACGAAATTCAAATCTCGTTAAATAAAAATTTCGAATTTTATTTATTTTGTTTAACTTGTAAGGGTTGAAAACAACTTAGATTATATAAATTAAATTTATATAAGTGTCGGGACTAAAATCGTGCGAAAAATCAAGATTTTCATCGAAAATCAGCCGAGTCTCGTCATCCCAGTGTATACGACCGCAAACTGTTCACAGTCGTAAACCGTTCACGGCTGGGTGGACCCCACCACCGACCATGAACCCAGCCTATATATATATGTGCTCTTACCCTCATTTCTACTCGTCTGGCCGAAAACACTACTTTCTCTCTCTCTAAAACCACCAACCGAAAACTCAATCTATCCTCCAAAAATCACCCAAATCTACCTTGGAACACGTTTTGGAGCATCAAGCATTCATCCTTTCATCGAATCAAGCACCCTTCATTTTGGGTTCACGGCCGTAAAGCTTTCACATCTTCAAATCTTCAAAGGCCGAAATCAGTTCACGGCCGTAAACCATTCAAGGGCCGTAAACCCTGCAAGGGCAGAGAACCGTTCACGGCCGAAAACCCTTCACGGCCGCAATTAGCCCCAATCGGAATCTTGGCTGTAAACCCACTTTTCCTTTTCGATCGATTATCGGTAACATTCCTTAACCACAAACAAGTGTTTTTCTAACACTTTAACTAACATATTCGCTAATTTAAATACAAATATGTGTTTAATTATTATTAGGATTCCGTTAACTTAGCGTACAACAACTCGAGGGTCCTCATTTCCAGTCTCGTTGTCCGGCACATACACGCATCCAACTGTGACTTCATACCCCTACGCTTTTACTATTTTAATGTTTTCAAGGGGGGGGGGGGGGAAATACAAGCCAAACACAAATAGTTTTTATGAACTTTATACACAGAATTTCATCAGGATTAAAACTTATGCAATTGATACAACCAAAAGATCACCACATTTTATAAAGTATTTAGATATTTTATCCCTTTTGTAACATGCTGAGCATAAGGGAAGTTTTCAACTCACAACTATAATTGCATAGTTTTATGAACGATACACAAACCGAGTACTTAACACACATGCAAACTATAATAGGTACAATTTGGGATTTCAATACATAGTTTTACCATCTTAGGATCATACATTAACAATCATTTACACTATGACAAATATAGTTTATGGTATACATTACTACTTTCTGAATAAAAGAGTACCATAATAAATAATTATTTAAGTATAATTATTATTACTCTGTAAATACACATACGATTTCAAGTACAAGAGAACAATACAAAACTACACGTAAACTAGTTAATAAAGGGTTGTGAGACATCACTTCAATTGTACCCTTCGGGGTGTGGGCTAAATCCTATCATTAGTGTAACCAGAGTCTCCTGGAGGGAGAGCGTGATATTTGTGAATAGATCTATTCGGGATTGGCTATCCCACACCTGAACTGCTAGCTACAGTTAGGCAGACATCCCTGGGGTGACAAATGTCATAACGTCCGACGCCTGAAGAACGTCATAGGGGTCACTAGGTCATATCAAGCATGGTTATACGAACTCACAACAGTATAAACTAACCATTTGTTTACGGGATTCATTCATTCAATTAGTTTTATTTTCATTAATAGAACTATCATACATCACAACTGGAGGATTCCAGGAAATTCGAATACATTGTTTTACTTTAAGTAATAAAACTACTATACATACTGGTGGTAGCCAGGGTTTTTCATACAGAACATTCTACACAAAGGTTTTCATACAGTGAACTAAGTATACCGAACCTTACATGGTATTGGAGCTATTGTTTATAGTGAACTAAGTATACCGAACCTTACATGGTATACAACTATAAACACTAAAAGGGGGCCGAAGCGCTCTGAAACTAAAAGTATACTTTTAAAATTTAAGTATTTTAAAAGAAGTATACAAGTATACATACATACTAGAAGCTGTAACATAGTAAGAACTACATAAAAGTATTTAGGACGAGTTGGGCACTACGGTTAAACCTGAATAGTTATGTAATCATATGTGGGGCCAATATAAC